ACTGTGCGTCATTCCGATTGCGATCGTACAATGATTGGCGATGGCACTCGGATGGTACCTGGCTTGTGGCCGCGCTTACGTTGTTTACGATGCGCTCGATGCGCTTACGATTGCTTTCGCTCGCGCTGTACGCTTGCGTAAGAGTAACACAATTTTGGCAAATTTGGTAGAGGTTTACAGTGTGTTTGTGTATGTGACAATGATTAGGAAGTCACCATTCAGTAACGAAGCGCTGACTGGAAAATGGAAGTCCACGTTCCCTTTTAATCATGTACATGCGTACGATAAGAAAGTGAAAAGGGAATGAAGGACATGGCAAAGCAAGTGGAAAGTCATGTGTAATGTTGATTTAGTGTATACTTTGTCTCGATGCCAGTGATAGTAGAACGATAACCATCGCTTGCAGTTGGACGGGGGGTTTTTATAGAGATCTATGATTATGATTAAACTTAAAAATTGGTTAATGTGAATATCAAAGTAAAGAACAATTGATCATAATACATCTCATGCGTAGAACACGATCGTGGTTGCCTAATCTCGGTATCGCTCGTCTGCGTATATTCTGGTTCTGGGGGTACATGTTGTTAGGAATGAGACGCTATTTATGGTCGTTTAATCTTGTTTTTCAGCCCAATAACTCCTTATGGAGTTGATTACCCGGATGGAATAAATCTATACCGTATGTGCTTATGCTGTAACTATTCTCAATATTTACTGTTATGTCTCGGTTTATGACGATTAGTACGTACATTAATTGTTATCAACTACAATTAACACATGGAATTATATTTCACAATGGTTATTCATGTAGAAAAAAGACGGACTCCATTTAGACTTGAAGTTGCACAGTTCAGATTGGTGGGTGACCCTTTCGTGTAAGTATCATCTGAATTTCCTATCCTAAACTGTTCTTCGTTTACATAAGTTGACATTGTGTAACATAACCAATTGGGTTCTACCTTCGGATATATAGTCGATACAACATGGTAGATCAGACGTGTTAAGACTAGCCCTCTAATCATTGAATCGATGCTACCTCTCCTTGCAGACGACAGTCAGCACTCTTTCTCGTTTTATGGTTTATGAAAGGCAACATGCATGTGATTACGAAGCTAGCATTAGCTATATTTACCTTGTTTACCCTTAGTGGTCCTATGTGTTAATATGTGTATGTTACACTTGCATGTATGAGATCATTAAGTACCTTGTAACTTATTTTTGTATAGTTTAACTCCGTTTGAATGTCAGTGGACTGCAAATAAGTCAATAAAAGGAGCATGGCTGCTCAGCATGGCTGCTCATTCCCTGGCTCTCAAAAGAGTTGGCTGTTTAATCTATGTTCAGACTGAGACAGTACAACACAGAGAGAACAGTACACCTATTGTGTAAGTACATACAAGCAGGTCACACAGTATGATCACAAATAAATAAAATCTGTTAAAAAAATCTGTTTTTATTAAAACGTACAGGCTGCATTATGTGTTCTCAGCCTTGGAGAAACTTGACATGTTTTGGTATGTGTCTGAACCTCTCTTTAGTGGTTCATTAATAAAAACCGATATTTCAACGTGTGCCTACTTTGTTCATGTACTGTTGAGGTTAATTTCAGTAGTTGTGTGCTATAATGTATTTACAAAGTGTGAAGAGGAGGCAACTTTAGAATAGGGAACATGTTCAGGTCAATTAGAGTCAAACTAATAGCTTATTGGACAAGACTTCACTTTAAAATAGGGAACATATTCTTAGATATAAATACCTAATTAGAGTCAAACTACTAGCTTATTGGTTATGAACAATATTTCACTTTAGAATAGGGAACATATTCTTAGATATAAATACCTAATTAGAGTCAAACTAATAGCTTATTGGTTATGAACAAAACTTCACTTTAAAATAGGGAACATATTCTTAGATAGAAATACCTAATTTTGAGTTATTTAGACACAATTAACACTTATGTCATGTTACATAAGAAGAGATCATATTTGTTAAGTGTTATTATGGGAGAATAACTATTCTTGTGGTACTACTGCCTTATTAGGCCCATATTGAGCAGAGCATATTAAGACCAAAACTCATGTACAACAACTTCCTTACTTGCAATAAATAAGCACTAATTAGAGGGTTATTGAGGAAAAACTCTCAACTAATGGCCTAGTACTTGTAGAATATGGTCATGTAGAATAAGGCATTAATAAGTGTTTTATAATGACTAATAAAGAGCCAATATACTGCTAATATGCATGTTAATTAACAACTAGTTGATGGTTAATTTGTGTACCCTAATATAAAGTGTTACCGAAAGTGTTTATGTGATGAAAAAAATCCCTTTTCACAGTCTGCAATGTACACACTGAAAAGGGATTTTAACAGCAGCTAAGATCGAAATGCCTGAAATATAATGTAACAAATGGCAATGCAATAACAATGAAAATGCCTATTATCACCTGGATCTGCAGCCGCCCTCGGCTTTACAGAACTTTATTGCCAGTTTAAGCTCATTGTTTATCTCTATTTTCACTGTTATGGTTTACTTACATACCGCTGTTGTCAACCACTGCAGGCAGAGAACACATTTCTAAAAAAAACACGTACACAATCCATCTGCACCAACAGCAGACAGACACTGTTAGAGAGTACATAGCCCACTTACTGTCACATATTTCTCTCAGGAGTTGGTAGAGATCAAAAACAGAACTAAAAGAATAGTTGATATTGGACTTAACCCATAACAACCCAGACCCATTTCTACTTTTGGGGAAATTAAGGGGAACATAATTTAGACTAAATAGACCGCCTAGAACACATTTCTGACAAGAAACCCCCCCTAGTGTCAAATATCTGAAATGTGACATACGTATGTCACATTGCTTTAATGGTAAAATAACTCTTATTTTTAACTTAATTAATGAGGATGATTTTTTGGTTTGAATTAGTTTGCAAATTCTTTGAATTGAAGAATAAGAACATATTAACTCAATATAATTGAATCAGCTAAATTAACTGAGAAGATCATAATCATATTTCTAATTGTGCATATGTCACTTTGGGTTAACTGTGAAAGTTTAGGGTTGAAGTCTCGATGTGACACCAGTATCACACAGACAAACACAGCGATGTTTGTCTCATTTGTTTCATATCAATTTGATCAAGAAATGTTTCCACAACAGGTTAAATGTAATAAAGGACATGTTATGTAAGCATTTTCATTCTTAAATGGCTTAAATTTTACCTTTAGCAACAAAAAATAAAGCTTTTGAAGTGTAGCTCGTTATGTCACGTGTTAGTCTGGCACATGGACATCTTGGTATGGGAGCACAAAATCACATGACCTGGACCATGACCCACCAGACTGTTCAGTGTGTGTCACTTAGGGACTTCATGAGATAACATAAAGGCTAAAGCTGTATAAGGAACTTTCCAGAACATTTAAAGTTCAGTGACACCCGTGTCACGGTGGGTCCTTATGGGTTAAGTAACCAGAAATGACGATTCATTAATTATTGTGTTGCTATCTGTAACTGATGGATGAGAAAAGGACCAACAGCTCACAAGCTTGTTGTATGAACTTATAGATGATAAAACATCAGTGCTGTCCTGTTTCCAAGAGATGAACACCAATCCGTTAAATAAGGTAAACAACATAAAAGTGAACTTCTCCAAGCCTGAAACCTAAAGGGAGAGGCTTCCTACTACACATATAAAATGATCAGGGTTTAAAATGTGTCTCTATTCACAGAACACCTTAGCCCTTTTAGCCTTCCTTGTATCTTGTTAAAGGAATATCTCGTGTTTCGACATCAGAGGTGCTCTAAATAGGGCACAGTGTGAGGTCTTTTAAGTCTTACTTCACCTAGATGTTTAGGGGAGCCTTGCCAAAAATGAAAGTGTGCAGAATAAAGCTGGTTATTTGGATTTGGGACGGATGTTTGCAGAAGGAGTTTTATACCAGGGGGGATATCAATGAGAGGTTTGTCGTGTCCTGTGTGTAGTGTTGATGCTAATTAAACTGCATGTTATTCTCAGGATAAATAGGTGAGAGGCGTTTAAGGAATACAACGTCATTATCTCTCCCCTGGGTCTAGAAGAGATCTTCAGAAAGTATTAAAAGTTGCCTGTCCATATGAACACACATCTGCAGGAAGAGATCAGAATAGATGTGCAGGAAAGTAGGAGGAAGCTGAAATGAAACAAAGGACAAGGTTGAGAGGAAATAAATGGCTGTATTGCCGATGATGTATTTTAATTCAATGCCATCCAAGAAAACTTAATACGGAGCTACAAGTACAGCTGTCTCCATCTAATTATTCTACAATGCCTGCTGTATGTTATTAAAATCTCAACCTTTACTCAGCTTGGTTCTAATTAAAACAAATAGATTTGTTTGCTGCTGCTTCAACATCATTACCTCAGCGGTTCAAATAGCAAGCTAACTCACTGTTCCCAACTTTGACTGAATTCAGCAAGTTAACGTCATTCAGAGAAAGTGGATAAATGACTTGGTTTTAAGGGGATATCTTGCAGTATTACTTTGGATTTGTTCATTATTTCCTGTAGTCTTTACACAGAAAATGCTTAGTGAACAGAATAGATGATAAAGAAATGTTTGGATATTTGCAGTTAAATTGAGAGACTGGCCTTACAACAAAAAAAGGCAGTATTTGTCAGTGTTCTATAAATAAGGGCAACCTGTGTCTTGATAAAAAAATAAACCTCAAGAGGTTGTGTGACTCTGCTATCTGACGGGAACAAAGAGGAAGTGGTTTGACCTTGTCGAAGTCATAAAACCCTTTAAGAATAAACTGGTTGGTTTAGACAACAATGTATTCATTTCCCATTTCCTGATGAGGAAACAATTCACAATTACTGATATTTTTGTCTTACGTTAACTGGAAATCAAACTTGAAATCATAGTGACGGTAAAACCTCATTGATATTTAACTGCCAAATGTTTGCTTTTGTACCTAACACAAGAAAGGCTGTTGAAATCATTGGCAACTTAATGAAAATCAGACTTAAGTATATTTTGACAACTCCAATTACATATAAATCTCTGCAGTTTTTAATATACTGTCGTGTTGACACAATTTCAGATCCCTCTACCCCAAAGATGGTTTTGGTAGTCTGGTGCTAAAGGGACAATCCACTGGGTTTTAAAGTGTGAAAAGCTTAACTACTGAGACCATTTTAATTCATTGTAGTAATTTGACATTTTTGATTATTCAAATGGTTCCCTGAACTGTTCTCAAGCAGAAACACAGCGGAGTGACAGTTAATTGTGCATCTCATAAACTAGAGACAGTGTAAATCTATAATAATAGTCGATGTAATTATTCAAATTGGTTTCAATTAAGCTCTATTCATTTGTAAGCATTACAGGGATGAATGTGTGTGTTATGAACTGGACAATAATCATGAGGCACATCTGCGCTGTGACTTCTCCAAACCCATATGGGAATGAGATTTGTTACACATGACGGGGTAGTTCAGTATATATCATCTGTATCACAGTGTGTGTGTGTGTGTTCACATTCAGGGTGTGTTTGTCCGGTTTGGGGACCGCCTGGGAACGACCTCATGGAAAAAATGACCACGGCCTTGTTTTTGATTTGCAGCAGTCGCCACATTGCTCTAAACTCAGGGTTGAAACACTGCCTGTAAATATAGTTGTAATAAATAATGATGACCTAAGACACTTTAAACTCCGTGTGTCTGTGACTTTATTTTCTGTTTTCTGGCTGTGCACTGCAACTCCTCACCTCCTCTGAACTGAAGTTAGCTGTTTGATTACTACTCACTGACATAACCTTCTAAAATATATATTTTTTAGTGATGTCGAAGAATTCATGAACTACAAATCTATGAGGCAATGTTTGTGTAAAGTGGAATACAATAAGAATAGACTGGAAATAAAAGGTGATTGAGAAGTTTGTTGTTCAACTTTAAGGCCTGATTAGTAGTTGAAATTGTACACACAACTTACCAACATACAGTATGACTAATAGCATGCATTCTTGACTCATAATGAAGGAAGTTACTTAATACCTGCTTTGGTCCATCTACTTTTATTTAACCCAGTTCTCTTGTGAGCATTACCTGATACATAAAGGATCAGAGTCAAGAGTTAATGGTACATTTGAATACAGTATAGATTGCTATAAATTAGACAATTGACAAATTAGCTGTCTCTGAGAGCCCTCTACAAACTTACCCAAGTACGTATCCAAGTAACTAATGAAGTGAACTGAATATTTAAATGGTTTCAATATTCATTTTACATTTTCAATAAACCACTACCAGCAGCTGAACTTTCTGCTTTCTAACAGCGAGTAGACACACAAACACCACTAATTATATGTAAATAAAAAAACTAAAATGTTGTACCCTCAGTTTCAATTTTGTCAATGTTTCCTTGAGGTGTTCCAAGCTTCTTAGCGTGTTAGCAATTAGCTCACAAGCTGTGGTATTTTACCAACAAGCTGTCGTTGGTAAAACGTCGCTAAAGCTTTGGCGATGATCGGCACTATTTTTATGACAAGGCCTGAGGAGACATTTTGTTTTCCTTTATTGGACTTACTTTTGGAAACCATCATTACATTCTGCAACAATTAGCTAAAATGTATTCATCAAAAAGTATACTTTAATGTGTAACTGTCCCTATTCTCCCTGAATCAGATACACTATATTTTAAATGCCATGTTGCAATCCCTTTATATCAGGAATATATCCTATTTTCTTAAATAAAATCCTTACATTTCAGGTAGTCAAACGGGCAAAGCTCTGCACCGGTAATGAATCGAGTTTTATTTAAATCCAAGTGAGACTCAGAGCAGATGCTATCTTTTCACACTTATGTATTTTTCATCAATTTAAAATCCTCTTTGATAAACACTGCGTGACACAAAGCAGACTTCATGTGGCTGCAAACTGATTTAGAAAAGAAACAGCAGTGAGTTCAACTCGAGCTGCAGTTGATATTTACTTTAGTGGGCTGTCTTTGGTGCATCCGTGACATCGCAAGTTAACTACCCACATACTGCCCCAAAGATGGAGAACAGGGAGCCGAGAATAACAAAATGAAACCCCAAGTGTGTTTAACTTCCTTAGAATCTGCTATAACATTTACTCATATGGGAATAAGATCAATACAAATATCAAATCATGTATTCAGTTTCTGTCTGTATTCTGTATTAAAGGTCCCGTATTATACTGTTTTTCATCAATATATTATAGGTCTCAGATATATACAAAACATGTCTCTGAAGTGTTTGGCTCCAAATACCAAACAGATCATTGCAGCATCCCATAATCCCCTCTGTTTTAGCCCTGTTTCAAAAGTGCTGATTCTCTGTCTGTTACTTTAGATGAAAATAAGGAGCCCCTCCCCACACGGTACCCTCAGACAGAGACTCAGGTTAGACACAAGAACAAAAGGTGCTCTAGAGAGGATTACGAAAGATGCAATAAAGACCCGCTGGCAAGGCGCTAAGGTGCGGTTAACCCTCTTCGTGTCATGGTGAATCATGGAGCATATAATGGCATCACAGACCACAAAAACTCGTTAATAACAATCCAACCAAGTGGCAATACACGAGCACTCAGACTCTATTTGACCGGTATTTTAATTATATTCAGGCAAAGAGAGAGGATCTTTTTTTCCTCGAAACTTTCTGAATCTCTTAACACAGAGGGGAACACATGTTTAATGTATAAAATACATGAAAAAGTGGATTTTACATAATTTTAGGGTGAAAAACCTTTAAGTCAAAAGTAGTCTAGTAAACATTTATTGTTAAAGTAGATTCCTGATTCAACCGTTAATATTTAGGATTAGAACCAAGGAAATGCAACTTGTGTTACACCTTCGTTAATGCTGTGACATACTCACCCATTCTGAAGTCAAATGTACCCTTCTCCTCCACTCATCACAAGGAAGGTTTTGGGGCTCGAGAAGGTTGCTGTGTCCGAGGATTCAGAGGGGGGTTCATCAGAGCCGAATACTGCACACTGCCGGGAGGGGGCATCGCCTGACTGTGACACAAAAACAAAAAAATTACACGTAATAAGAAAAGACATTAACGCATTTTCCTTTATTACAGGTAATGCGGAAGCTATGATCAAAGCATCGGCCCTGTTTACTAAATCATAAGACAGCCATCAATCATTGACAGGATCATTTGCATTATAAAAGGTGATGATATGCTGGAATTGATCAACTGTCTTCATGATCAATTCATGTGCATATTTCTTGTTTATCATATGAAATGTCAAAGTAGTTAAAAAACACATCCATGAAACGTCCTTCAAATGTCTTGTTTGATCTGATAAACCAGTGGAGAGTCCCCGTAGATATTTAATTTGCAATGTTATAAAACAGAGAAAAAACACAAATGATTAAAATGTGAGAGTTTGCAACAAACTTTAGTTTTTTTTTGCTTGCAGACATTTACCATTATTCAAAATGGTGGCAGAATAGATTTGATCCAGATTGTATGTATCGATGCAGCTCCACAACATAAATAAATTGCCTATTGGTTTGTAGATCTTATCTGGGAATGCACATTGCAGGCAACTATTCAATGGTTTATGGTTAATAGATTATGGCAGTGTGTTTCACAGTTTCTGTCACTGTGCACTTGCTGCTTACTGCACGGTGACAAAGAACTTTG